ACTCGTAAAGATATATAAACTCCGACAAAGTTAAGTTTGGGAATATGACTCATAAATCGACGATGCGCAGTGGTTCTTGTTTACTATAATACCATAGAAACGGCCAGTTTGCTGTTTGCCAGTGTCGTAGTGGTGTATTGCAGAGAGTGTTTGACTTGTTGATTTGATCGTGTTGGATATTTTATTTTAGATTAGTGCTTAGTCATTTAGTGTATTTATAGTGTGTTAAGTTTAGTTATTAATAAGAGTTATTTAACAATATGGCTTCTAAAAAGATAGGAACAAAAGGGCTGGGATTAAATAGCCAAGCAAAGGCAATAATTTATAACGTTACTACATTTATGGTACAAGAGGCGGCACATTTCGAAGCAACCGAAAACCTGTTAATACCTTTAAGGAAATTGATGTAAGTATAAAGTAAGTAACCCAAATAAATGTTATATTTAAATTTACAATCATGTTTATTAAACAACATAACATAGGACACTTCATTCCTTCAAATTTTGTATTTTTATTATTACTCCTTCGAGTAAGTTATTGGATGTTAACCAGGTAATACCTTTCTTTTATAATTGCAAAAAGTTCGGCAGTATAAATGCTACAAACAGGTGGTAATTTATATTTCAATCATTGGTTTGTATTTTGTATAAATACACCACAACCGACACCTTGTTATTATCTATTTACGATGTTTCGTCAGATACTTTATACTATTTGCTTGAAACAGAAAATCTCCGATCTCAATACGGATTGTGGTAAATATGATTAAGTGCATTTTGTTTCTCAATATTTTCATCTAGTAACATTAATATTGGTAATTATAGGGATAGGATTTTAGCAGCTACAGGTATAAGTAAAAACACCTTATCCAAAATAAGAAAAGAAGGTAGAGAAGTCAATAAAAATGAAGCGACTAGTTCATCTTTTACAAGTCCAAAAAGAAAACATTCTCGTGCTAAAAAAATTAAATTGGACCAAGGAGAAGAGGAAATCATCAAAAATGTTATATATGACTTTTAGATAATCGAGAAAAGATCACCTAAAATTACTGTTAAATAGTTAAGTTAAAAAATAATTTACGATATAAAATTTTGTTATCGTAAATAAAATAGAATCAGTAAAATTATAAAACAATTGTTTGTTTGTACCAATTTAGAACAAACTGAAAGTTTTCTAGTAAAAACACTGATATAGATACATTTTTAACAAAAACGGTAGATACAATTCCTTCACAATTTTGCTTACTTAGTAAACAAGATTTACTTTCCAAATATTTTAACTATTTCTATTTATTTAAGGTATTTATCAAAAACTACCTAAAAACTAACTAAAGAACAAAGAAATGGGATTTCCAGGATTAAAGGAATCATTAAGGAAACCATAATTGGATTAGGCTTTAGGTAACACAGTAAAATAATTATTCAGCTGAACAAATAAAACTGTATAATAGATAATATATTTTAAATTGATATTTTATTAACATCGCTTTAGTTAAACTTATGATGAATATGAATAGTGTCTTTTCAAAAGTACTAAATATTTGGATAATTATAATACTATACTTTGTTTGTAAACCAGGAGTAAACTAAAGAGACATATTCACACCCAAGAAAGTCACAAGAAAAGTTACCAAATACATCCTTTTTGTTGATCATATCGGTCTTCGATGGTAATCCAACAATATATTATACTAATACGTCGCTAAAGAGTTCTAAAAACAACTGTTTTTTATATAAAAGCAGACTAAAAATCTAAAAATTAAACGAATAACGCGGAAAACACAAAAAATCGCCGATATAACTTAATTAACCTATGAAATGCCATTAGTGTCAAAATTTCATTACAGTGGAGTAAACTTGCCTGAGGTTGGACCAATTACAAACATTGCGGCGCGGTAAATTTGAATTAGTCCTGGTTTTAAAACAGGGTATAGCAGTCGATCTCCGGACGCTTGCAGTTTATGTGGTAGATCCCATGCAGTATAAGTCTGAGCATCACTGCTGTACATAAAAGAACGGTGATCACGGACACCGTTTAAAATCACCGTTATTTACAAATCACGGTCACTGATAACGGCGTGATTTAAAAATCACCACGTTCACCATCACTAATACGTTCATTAATAATCAAGATACTGTGTAGTGTCCTTTTGGTAGTCACCTTGTTTTTTTTCTAATTAATATAATCGTTTTCCCCTCCTCTTTCATTTACTATGTCACATCTTGGGTTTCGATCAGTTGTTTATTTTATACTCAGCCAAAGGTATTCTTTAAGTCAATACTCAATAGTTTGGTTTGGACAGTCAACAGATTATTAAAGCATATTTCTTTTTATTGAAGTGCTTTTTAATTGTCTTTAGTTTTAGGATGATTCTACGTACAAGCAAATTGTGGTCGGAGGCAGAAAAAATCAAAAATATAAATCTGTCATTTTGTATATATTTTTAAACGAAAATAAAATTTAATTGTATTGTATAGGCTGTATCTCAATTTTAATATAAATCTAAATTATTTAATATATGAAGACCACACGGAAGAAAGGCGAAATGTCAATTTTTTGTTCAGAGCAGCAATATGTAGGTTTTTAGTAGTAGTTTTATGTGAGCCATTCAAACATGAAAAAAAGACGAATCCTCATAGCTTAAAACACGTTATAAAATTCTTCGTACAGGGAAGAAAGGCGAATGGTCCTCGCGTAAATCCGAGAAAGGTGGAATGTCAGTGCTTGTCGGAACTTCGGGGGAGTACACGCTGCATTTTGTTTACTAAAAACGTTTAGTTTTCGATTAGCCTCCATTAAATAAAGTGCGTGTTATTGTACTCGAAAATGACGGATAGTGAAAGAGATGATACGTGTCGCGAAAAAAACACTAGAAAAAGTAAAATTACAAATCCAATAAATGAAGTAATGAAGCGGTTAAGACAACAGAGCCATGAAACAGGTGACGATTATCAATGTAAGAGACTTAAGTGTTTTAAAACAGTAGATCAACAAAACCGATCAAACATTATAAACAATTTTAACCGTATGGGCGTGATGAACAAAATATTTACTTGGCAAGCCTAATAACGTTAATGCCCGTAAAGCAAAGAGCCAGAGATGAAGCTACATCAAGATTGCATGATGCAACGTATTCTTTTAGAGTTATAATAACGACTGATGATAAAACTACTGACGTCCCAGTTTGTTTTAAAGCTTTTCTAAGTCTTCATGGCATTGGTCGGAAGAGGCTTGAAAATATTCAAAAAAGATTAAAAGCTACTGGTAGTGCATCAATTGACAAACGCGGAAAAAATAAAAAAAAAACACGCATTAACAAAACAACAGCTAGATGAAGTTATTGAACACATAAAGCGTTTTAAAGAAAGAGAAAGCCATTATAGTAAAAATAAAACTAAGAAAATGTACCTTCCGGATGACTTACAATATTAAAAAAATGTACACTATGTACAAATCCGATAAAGGCGCTCCTGTGTCTTACGAAACATATCGACAAATCTTTAATAAGCATTTAACATTAGCTTCGGCTATCCGCGGATTGATACGTGTAGTGCTTGCGATCATTTCTTGGGTGACCTTAAGGTCCTTCACAATAAACTGAATGAAACAAATGATGCCTCTGAAAAACAAAAGATAGAAGTTGAGATAAAACGAATAACTTTCGCAAATAGCCTACACAAATCCAAATCGGAAGCATTTTATGAAATAAAGAGAAAGGCAAGGAAAGCAGCAATGCAGAATGTTGTTTGTGAAGCAGTCGCTATGGATTTTGAAAAAAATTTATCCGCTCCAAATATTCCGACCAACGACATCTAATATAAGAGATAACTGACGCTTTACTCCTTTAACATTCATTGTTTTCCAGAATCCATAGGAGGCAAAGGTTCAAACGAAGTAGTGTTTTTTCTGCACCATTTTATCTTTGTTCAGCTTGATCTCTCAGTTCGTCACCTCCACATATTCTGTGATTTATTTGGCGGCCAAAATAAAAACTTCACTGTTTTCCGTTATCTTCACTATGTAGTTAATACTGCAAAAAGGTTGGACTCGATCAAAGTAACCCTCCCAATACGAGGTCATTCTTACATGGAGTGCGATCGAAATATGGGTGTGATAAACCAAAAAATTCTGGCTGAACTTCCTGAGGATTGGTACACGGAAATTAGATCATGTCGAGTAAAACCAAATCCGTTCGATGTTGTAGAGGTAGATCAATCACTTATAAGAAACTGGTTATTATTCTTGGACCAAATTTAAGTAACTAAACTAACATATAAATCAAGGCCAATCAGAGAACTCGAAATATTGAAAGATCATCCACGCCTTTTCAAACACCGAGATTCCTATGAGGGACAATGGGAGACGTCAATTATACGCAAACCATTTACAAATTCCGATGAGGTGAAAATACCCGAGAGCCAGTTTATTTTGCCACCAAAATTATAAACAGGTGAGTTTGCTTTAAAAATTCCCTTCCTTTTCTCTTTTTTCATAGAGATGTTTAGAGCCTTTAGAGCTAAGGAATATTTCTAAGGAAAAATTAAACGATCTGGTCCACTTGAGTCAGTTTTGCACATCTGAAAGCGCTAAATCGTTCTATAGAGACTTAACTTACAACAAAAACGTAAACAAAATGAGAAAATAATAAAAGCTAGGCAAATGAACAGAAAAAAAATTGTTGTCATATATTTCGCTTTTTTCCCGTGTTTGTAGTGACTTGTGTTTACATAAAGCAATGTTTCTAAGTTGTGTGTTTTATTTTAAATTCCGTTGATTATAATACGTTACAAAATAACTATGAAGACTACTTAAATAAAGAAGTACGCAAAATATTTAATTGTATGATGATGCTTAGGGTTTGAAAGTTAAAAATTCCATTTTCTCGAATTAACCTCTTTGTGACATTTCGTCTTTCTTCCGTGTGGTCTTCATATGTTAAGAACTTTTCTTAGCACTGTCTGGATTTAGTATTTTGGAATTTGGGAAAGCAAAACAATTTTAGAAAATAGATTTTATTTTTCGAAAATAGAATTCCAAAAAGTGTGTTTTAAATATTCAAATATTCTACAATAATTGCATACAAAAAACACATAACTAGTTAAAAGATATAAGAACACATTAATTACATTTCAATTTCAACATTCTTAAAGAATTACATAAAAATTATTACACGGTTTTAACGAAGTGACTATAAATTTGTATATGTATAACTGTACAAGGAGCGGGTTGTATTTGGACTGTTTCTTTTAAAAAATAAATCTGACAAAAATTAATACACAATGGGGTGATAAAATTAGAACCATTTCGTAAAATTGAACATTTTATATTGAAGCAGAAAAGAAAAAGTTAACAAAATCACAGCAACACATGTCATGATGAAGGAAAAATTCACATTTCCTTGACGAAAAACAGACTAGCAAGATTCTAACCAAAATTATGTCTGGCATGACCATTTCATGAATGACACTTCATTGGCAAATAAAAGATATGCCGTTTCCAATATGCCATCCTGCAAAAAAGCCGCTACTTATCCCATCCATCAAAAGAAAATAACACAATGGGCCAAGGATTTGGAAACTAATGATTCGAAACAGGAATTAATTAATTCCTGTTTCGAGAATATAAAAATAAGAGTTAAAAAAAGTGAAAAAAGTACACTTTGCTTAAGAAAACAGGTTCATGTCCATGTCCGCAGGGCCGATCTCCTAAATTGTAAAAATAAAAAAGTGCCAGTGAATTTATCTGTGCAGATTAGAGCAAATATAATTATTTATCATCACGATAGACAGGTATAAGATATAACTTATCATCTGACATTGTTTTAATTCTTACACTAAACGTAACCTTTAGACCTCAATTTTCTTCTAAGTACTCTTTTAATAACGCACTTCATTTTTCGGGAACCTACTAAAAATTTAAATTCTACTTTTTGAGTTGGTTAAATTGACTTATAATAATTTCAGAAGGTCCCCATAGTTATACAGTCTTATAAAGAGTAGGTTTATTTCTTCAACAGTTAAACTGTTTGGTAAGTGTATTTATAGTGCATCTTAATAAAGCTTCAGTTTATTAAATATACTTATGCAAACAATGTAAATAAAAATGGGCATTCAAGAATATAAAAAAATTAAAATAGTTTGATTTGGTCAGTGAAGTGATTATTAAGGCATCGAAATTTATAAACAACAAGAAACGTTTATTATTACTTAACTAAAATAATTTTCGGAACTATCAGCAAACTGTTGCAGAAACAAATCTGTGTACTTCATTAAATGATGTTGTTAGGCATCGTAAGTATGATAAATGGCTTAATTTATATGATACTATTTCTAAACATGTACAAAAGTTCCCAGGCTGAAGTGAATTTTAACAGTATGAACAGTCTTTGAGAAGACAAATAAAGGTCCATTTATTCACATCTATTGTTCTATATTTTCTCCACCCAATCCCATATTAACACCAAACACATTCCCAGTGAACAATAATTTAAATATCTGAATTAGTTAACAAGATGCAAACTGTATAAAGATTTATTCTTGCTTCCTTCCTAAGATCCTAGCCAACCAAGCGTCAAGAAGTTTCTGGGAGAAATGCAGAGTGAACAGGTGGATCTGAAGAGCCACAATCAAGAATGCATACCATAACATACCATATGGATAACCCTAAAAATAAAGTTCATTTTATATACAAAATTATATTTATATTTTCTCATAATTATCTTATCCACTTCTAAAACGTATGTTCAGTATGAGACCATGTATTGAACCATAAAAAAATCGTATTTAGACATTAAGACATGGTCGTGTGATTCTTCTGACCATAAATAAAGCTGTAACTGACTTGTTTTCAGTAAAACTAAGATTAACATGTTACTAGATGACCTTGATGATGATTCTTTTTTTACATTACGTGACTCTCCTGGTGTAGTAAGAGCTGCCCCTGTCTTGTATTCACTCTTTATTCTTGTCACTGTGCGAAGACTAATTTTCAAAGCGTCCGCTACTCGTTCATGTACCGATGATAACGAAAGCAAAGGTCCGTTGTTTTCTTTTTCTTTTTTAAAATACTCCAATAAATGAACTACACATTGTCGCATTTCTCCTGCTATCGTTTTTCCCGACATTTTTTTTATTAAATAGAACAATTAGTTATTCACAACAAAAAATAATAAGTAAAACTGTTCGGAACAAATTCCAACAATGACTAAAATCGACTAAAACAACATAAAATATCAATGGTAATTGCTACAATTATAAACCTATTAGCCAGCTCATTCAAGAACAATGCCACAAGTCATTATTGCAATGGGTATCGGAAGAGAGAGAGTTAATTTATAATAAACTGGAATTTTTAAGGTGTCGAGAGTATTATTTTATGTAATGGAATTCCACACAGTAAGAGCTCAAACTATTAATTAATTAAAAACTGTTTACTTATAAAAACTATTTCATCAGCTACTTCAAACCTGCACAGATCAGGGTAACATGTTAAAAAAAAAACACGTCACTGCAAGCTATCTGTATTCGTAAAGAGGCCGAACTTATCACCGACAAGTAATTGAATCTGTGTATCAGAGAGAGAGACGAATATTAAAAATTCCGTAGTAGCTTATTTCAGGCACACGCCAAGAACAATGAAAACGAGTATATACAGTTGTAGTTTTTAGTTAAGTCGTTTGCTTGTAATGTTTTTCATGTTTTGTCGATGGCTCTGTACTCCGTGTCCGTCCCAGCTTGCGTGGAGGAGGAGATCTGAATTAAGTAAGGACTCTTCTGTACTTCTCGAAAGACGGATGGGCGGGGAAGTCCTCAACCCCGACACGGCGCGTCACACTGGCTGATAGGGAAATGTCCTACAGATATGTAGGATAGGTGTGAATAAGGTTTTACCAAATAACCACCCGTGGACCAGCTGAGGACATGGCATAGCGCAGCAGCTATGACATTACTTCATTAAGGCTATAACGGAATGATTTCGACTATTGGCTTAGTGATAGATACTCACGGGCGGATATCACATAATGATTTAACCGGCCGTGATACTGCGATCATGCAGGCAAGGGAAACCACCTGATTAAATTCCCGTGACTACACCATTATGAATATGAAATGCGTAGAAAGTTGACTATTGCTAGAACAGCCATGATGAAACTGATAGCAATTTGGAAAAATTCTAGCATAACAATACACACAAAACTAAGACTGGTAAGGGATTTTTCCCATAGCCACATATGCATCCGAAACGGGGACCGTAAAGAAAGCGGATAAAAATAAACAGGACGCTTTTGAAATGTGGGTATACCCCCGCATATTGAGAATACCCTGGATTGATCATCGCACTAAGGTATCGATATTAGAACAACTTAAAGTAAAGGATAGATTGCTTAAACAAATACAACAGAGATATTTGCAGTATTTTGGACACATTGCTAGAAGAACAGGCACGATGGAAAAACTGATAGTCGAGGGTAGAGTTGAAGGAAAAAGACCTAGGGGAAGATCTCCAAGCCGTTGGGTAGACCAAACAAAAATATTGATAAACCAAGGGTTACATGAAGCCGAACAACTAGTCCAGGACAGAGAAGGATGGAGGAAAATCATGAAAAAACTTTAAAGGCCTGATGGTGTCACCACATCCCAAACGGGATTAGGACTGAGGAGGAGAGTACTATAACATAGAAAGTATATGGAATATTCCTCATGATTATTTTATGATTTGATATTCCTATCCGCGATCATCCTGGCAATCTATATCTTATCTGCAGCAGCGCAGAAAAGCTGCGTATATGTCGTATTGAAGATTCTGGGGTTCTTTAACCAAGATGTTCTTCTTCTTCCTGGAACAGGTTTTCCAAATATTTTTCCTTGCGAGATGGCTTGAAAGAGAGCATATCTGGATTCATTTCGCATAATATGTCCGAAGAACTGTAACTTTCGAGATTTGATGGTGGTTAGTACCTCTCGGTTCTTATTTATTCTTCTGAGGACCTCCTCATTTGTGACTCGGTCAGTACAAGGGATCTTAAGCATTCTCCGATATAGCAGTATTGCGTTGAAGTGCGTCACTGTTTCTACAGGGGATTGACTTTCTGTTATCCTTTTCTTGCTAATTATCAAAAGCTTTGTCTTCTTAACGTTTATATTGAGTCCATATTGTTGACTGTAATGCGTGATTTTGTTTATAAGAACTTGTAGGTCTTCTAAGTTGTCCGCAAATACTATGGTATCATCTGCATATCTGATGTTGTTTAGCCGGTATCCATTTAGTAGAATACCTTTTTCAGTTTCGTACAAAGCTTCGATAAATATTCTTTTAGAGTACAGATTGAAGATTAGAGGAGACAAAATACAGCCTTGCCTCACTCCACGCATGATTTTCACATAGTCAGTGTGTTCACCTTCAACTCTGAGATTTGCTATCTGATTCCAGTAAAGATTTCTAATTATTTTCAGATCTTGGTTGTTAATTTCTGCTTCTTTTAGTATTTGCATCATCTTGACGTGCTGTACTCGATCAAACTCTTTCTGGTAATCAACCAGAGATGCGTATACGTCGCAGTTGACGTCTCTGCATCTCTGGACTTGTACTGAGATCAAAGCCTCTCTATTACCAACAGCATTTGTGAACCCGAACTGGTTGGGGGAAATTTGACTTTCATACAGCTTGTAAATTCTCTTATGAATTATCTTTAGGAACAATTTTAGGAGATGACTCATGAGGCTTATAGTACGGTAATCTTCGCATTTTTGGCTCCGGTTTTTTTTGGAAGTGCAATAAATTCAGATTTCAACCATTCTGTTGGTATTTCTCCAGAGTTGTATATGTTTGCGATTATTGCTATTGATTCGTTGTCCATTAGTTTGAGTAGTTCTGCTTGTTTCAGGGCCTGCCGCTTTGCCATCCTTTAACTGTGTTATTGCAGAATACACTTCCTGCTGTAATATTCTTGGTCCATCATTTACCCCTTCTTCTAGCTCAAAGGTGTTATCTTTTTGGTCTTCAAATAGTTTTTCTAGATATTCTTTCCACGTTCTTATTATACTCTGCTTGTCCAAGATGATGTTTCCGTCAAAATCAGTTATACAAGGTGGTCCAGAATTATGTACATTAATTTCTAGAGCTCATAGTACGTCCAAAAATAAGGGTACTTCTTTATGTACACTTTTTTATAAAACTGAATAATAAGGGAGATACAACCCTTTAAAGGGGTGAATTGAAATTCTTATTTTTTCAAATATCTTCCAAACGGTTTTGAATACGGAGTTCATAGTTTGGGAGTGATTATAAGACATTAGGATAATTAATTTCATGTCACCATCTACCACATCCTATATTAATACAGGGTAGTTTTGGAGGGTAAGTGAGGGTTATTGTGTCACATGTTTTTTAATTTTTACATATTTTAAAAAAATATTTTAAAAATTGTTTCCTTAGACTTTTCTACGCATAAAAGATGCTCTTGTAATATTTCGATAGGTATCACCGTTTTCGATTTATTTAAACTCGAAAGTATACATGTATTTTATTGTAATCGTTACATTTCTTAATATTCATCAAGTATGCTTTGGAATTGACAGTTGTGTTAGCAATAATATTACAAATTAATGAAAAACTTAATTAATACTTAACATTTAATTAATGGCGAAAATAATATTTCACAATAAAATGTCCTCCATTTTGTTGAATACATAATCTAATTCTTTTATTTAGCGAACGCATTAATCCATTTAATGTTAGTGGATCGTTTTGTAAATCGGGAAATACTTGTTCAATTTTGTCTCTTAACTCATTTACTGTATTAATTGGAGTGTTATACAATTTTGATTTCAAATAACCTCATACTGTAAAGTCCATTGGATTAAGATCACAACTACGAACAGGCCAATGAATCGGTGCATCCGCACACAAATTCTTGTGTAATGTGATGTAGCACCATCATGCATGAAAAACATGTTTCTTCGTATTTGTAATGGAATATCTTCCAAAATCATGTAAAATATTGTCTGGAAAATTGTAATACATGTTACCATTTAATTTTCCGGGAAAGATGTGGTATCCTATGAAACTATTTCCTAAAGTAGCTGCCCAAACGTTTATCTTGAACGTGTGTTGGAAGTGAGTTTCCATTGTAGCCCTTGGATTTTCTTCAGCCCAGAAGTGCATATTTCTAGAATTGAACATACCTTGTCTTGTAAATGTGGTCTCTTCTGTAAACAGAATGTTGCTTAAAAAATTTGGTGCACTTTGAACTTTATTTTGCAATACTTCACAAAAATCAACTCTAAGTGACATATCGTCAGGTAACAATTCCTGCACCTGTCGATAGTGGTAAGGATGTAATTGCTCTCCATTCAGAACTCTTAAAACACTTTGATGGGAAATATTCGTTCTTAATCCTAACCTGCGTGTACTTATTGTGGGGTCATTTATTACAGCATCCAATATTTGCTGTTCAACGCGAACATTTCTTGCTTCTCTACGACGACCAGCATCTGTATTCCTTCTTTGAAGACAACCGGTTTCTCTCAGTCGTCGTTCAGTACTTACAAAAGTCCTGGCATTGGGAATATTTCTGTTCGGATAGTTTTCTCTGTAGCGTCTTACAGCGGCAGCAGCATTTCCCGAACATTCCGAATAGTGTGCCATATTGCGGGCAAACAAATTTAAAAATATAGCAAAAGAGACGTGTTAAACAAATTTCACTGCCGAGTACAATAAAAGTGTAGATAAAATAATTTAATTGTTATTAAACGTCACTGACAATTCATAGACTACTTGAGATTAAAGTGTTGTTGCTAACACAAGTGTCAATTCCAAAGCATACTTGATGAATATTAAGAAATGTAACGATTACAATAAAATACATGTATACTTTCGAGTTTAAATAAATCGAAAACGGTGATACCTATCGAAATATTACAAGAGCATCTTTTATGCGTAGAAAAGTCTAAGGAAACAATTTTTAAAATATTTTTTTAAAATATGTAAAAATTAAAAAACATGTGACACAATAACCCTCACTTACCCTCCAAAACTACCCTGTATTAATATAGGATGTGGTAGATGGTGACATGAAATTAATTATCCTAATGTCTTATAATCACTCCCAAACTATGAACTCCGTATTCAAAACCGTTTGGAAGATATTTGAAAAAATAAGAATTTCAATTCACCCCTTTAAAGGGTTGTATCTCCCTTATTATTCAGTTTTATAAAAAAGTGTACATAAAGAAGTACCCTTATTTTTGGACGTACTATGAGCTCTAGAAATTAATGTACAGAATTCTGGACCACCTTGTATTTCCTTTCTGCCTTCGTCTTAGTCCCCCTGTGAGTTCTTTAACTTTCCTATGTACATTGTGACTATAATACTTTCGCTGCAGAGTCTCAATTTCTTCGCATCTTTCCCTTGCTTCTCTTTCTTTCGCTTCTCTGATTTTCGTTCTTATTAATATATTTATGGTGTTATATTTGTCTGGGTCATTATTGGCTTCTCTCGTCCATTAGTTTAAGGATGTCATCTGTCATCCATGATTTTTTCTTCATTAATCTATCTGTGTTTAAGAGTTTATACTTTACATTTTGCACTATTTCTGTAATATGTTTGATCGTTCGTTCTTCGTTCGATTGGTCTCTAATTGCAGTCACTTGCTCGTTTAACGTGCCTTACGAGGGTACAGTAGATACTACAGGGTTATGCAATTGAGTTGTTACCTATTCAAACGACGATATTTTTTTGTGTGAAATTATTTTTTATTGATTCAAATGACAAAAATATGTGAAACAATCAAAATTTCAGAATCCACACACTTTAGCTCGATGTGGCCACCTTTGGCCTTGACTATGGCCTTCAAACGATTAGAAAACGAGTTGCATGCTGCACGAATGTGATCTTTCGGTATTTTGGCCCATCACGTATAATTGCTTTCTTCAGCGCATCCATACTGGCATATTTTTTAGTCCTCACCTTGCTTTCCAAAATCGACCAGATGGAATAGTTCGCGCAGGCGTAACAACTCCTTTACTCTTTCAAGCAGAACTTTTTTTTGCTTTGGTGTAAGATTGTGTGCTTTTTGGAACTTGTAAGGCTTGACCTTGAGCTCCTTTTTCAATATTCGGTTGCATGCTTCGCTGGGATATTCTCAGTTCTTTGGCCATTTGATTGCCACTACGACGTGGATTTCACTCAAGTCGAGCCTTCACTTTCCGAACCATTTCAGGGGATGTTGCTATTTTTTTTTTTCGTCCACCACCATAACGTTTGGCAAAGTATCAATATAACGAGTTATGGTGCAATACACAAACATTTTATTCACTTTGATGTATTTGGGCTGACGAACAACAGCTGGTTGTGATTTTCCAGCCAAATATAAGGCAATATTACGTTTAAATTCCATTGCGAATAACTTTTGTTGTATGTATAAAACTTAAATGCAAATGTTTTTTGACGGCTTATAAACATACTGAAGTGTTATCAGGCCAACTTTGACGTAGTTGTCATTATCGATTTGCCAGATATATCGATGCGAAGTTGGTAACAGTTCAATTGCGTAACCCTGTACATATTCATGCTAGTATAGTAATCAATACACATTCCAAAAACCATAACACCTTAAGTCCTAAGCGTTGTTGATACAAATTCCAAAAGGTTCTGGAAGATAATGGTTGATGCCCTTCTTCCAGGCATATAAAAACTTTGGAAATTCAGAAATCCAGAAATTTTGAAATTCGTGGAAATTTAAATATAAATAGACTTTGGAACGTCGTGAATATAGCTAAGCTAATTCCTTTTCAAGCTTTTTACAGCTGTTTTTTACAGAAAATTACTAACCTCATTATTACAAGTCAGTGAGATTTAAACTATCTATTTTACTCTATAATAATTGACATACCTGCCACCATTCAATGTTTTCTAGATCCTCTTCGACTTCGTGCTTGAGGTAGGTCCAAACATCAAAGAAATAATAAACTCCAGCATAACAGATGGGAACCAATGCAAATAAGAGAACACCAAGCCTGTAGTACCTCATTAAAGATACTCTGTTCTTTTTTATTGCTTCTAATCCTAAAAATGATAGTGGAAAACTGATGCACCAAATATATTCCCACCATAATGGCTAAAAGTAAAGGTTTCTATTTAAGTGTCTTGTACATTAACCCTAAAATACTAATCAATGTCATCATTTATAAAAAGTTTTTACAGCTAAATTGTATAATTTTTTGTAAGTATATAATAATAATAATATATATATATACAGGGTGGTCCTTAAGTAATTGTACAAAAAGAAACCTTACATTCTACACTTTAAAATAATACGATTTAAGCCAAATTGCTTTAATAAAATGTTAATATTAAAAAAGATAAAGGGTGTTAAAGTGGAAATTTAAAATTTTAATTTTTTCTATAACTTTCACGTTTGTGAACATTTTTGTATCAAAATTCATAACTGGTTACTATTGAACATCAGGAATTATAATTTGATGCATACTTTAATGTAGCTGATAGAGGGCGCCACATATGCCACATAGATGGCATACATTTGCACTAAACTTTTTTATGCGTGTCCATTCTGATTATAGATGTAATGTATCTACGTGGAACAGAGTAACTTTTAAACCAAAATTCACTCGGGATTGAGGGTTGTATGAGTGCATATTGTGATTTGAAGTGTTGACTATATTCATAATATTCTTGTTTCCACTTATTGTTTACAATATTCTTGACTGTTACAAATACATCTGGTATGCATGGCTTATAATATGTTTTCGCACCAGAATCAACGGCTTTCTTAGCTAATATATCTACATACTCATTATGCTCAAGCCCTATGCGAGTTTTAATCCACAAAAATCTAACTGTTCTTTGTTCCTGATTTATGATTCAAAAATGATTTTTTTTTATTAGAAGGATGTAAATATTTGTGCTTCTAGAAAAAGATATAGTCTCGATTGCTATAAGAACCGATAAAGAATCAGATGCAATTATTGCTGAGTTGTCATTGGAATTCTTAAAATACTTTATTGCTTCATAATTGCTATGGCTTCAGCAGTGAAAATTGAAAAATTATTATCTAAACATGTTTTCTATACTGTTTGGAGGAATATAAAAAGCACATCCAGTGCCAAGAGAAGACTTGGATGCGTCTGTATAAATAACTGTTGATGCTGGCCAGTTTTCTAATACATTTCTTAAAATATTGTAGCTGATTGCAGTATTTACATGGTACCTTGGTTTAATTATCGTAATATTTTGCAAAAAAGCATAAAATTCTTCAAAGTTTGAATTATCATATGTGTATGAGTTGGTGTAATCGCAACTTGATAGATTTCTAAAAGCGTTACAAAGTGGAGGAGAATTTTTGTGGATCCAATAATTTATTTTGATAATACTGTAGTAAAGAGACAGGTTTCTATGACGAGTATTAATCAGAAATTTTTGACTAAGATATTCTCTTCTATATTTGAGTGGAAATTCTAGTGCTTCAACATATAACGAATTGTTTGGGGTTAATTTCATAGTACCTAGGCAAATACGTAATATTGTATTTTGAAACACGTCTATTTTTACCTTGTAATTTGATTGGTGAAATTTGTTTAAATTTTTTATGAAATAATTTTATTGATTTATTGGAAGAATTGTCATCAAACTTAAGGCGAAATATATGGTTTATGCAAGATGGTATATAATTCATTCATTCATTCTGTCATTCATTCATTCAATCATTCTGTCTCCGGCTTCTATATACCATGTAGCTTCGCCTATCTTCAAAATTTTTAAAGTGTTTGTCTTTGTGTAGTGTATTGTTATGTCCCATTTTATATTTATGACATTCCACTCTTGTCGGATAGGCCGCAATTGACGAAATGCCCCTGAAGATGATCTAGTGATCGAAAGTGCTTGGGCAAGATTAAATTAATACTGTGCTCGATATTTCCCATGTATATTATCAAAGTTCATTTATTCGAGCATTCAACCTTATATCAATTTAAGCCATTTATGTCGACATCAGGTGTACCACAAGGTAGCAACTTGGAGCCTCTTCTGTTCGCTATATTTATTAACGATTTATCTCACTGTGGGAAGTTTTCGACAAGCCTGCTATTTGCAGATGATAAGATTTTTCGAGAAATTTCAACTTTACAGGACTCTGAGATGCTGCAATGTGATCTGAACTCAGTAAGTCAGTGGTTCGATGATAACAAAATGTTTCTAAACATTTTTAAATGTCATGTTTTTACTATCATTCGAAAAACACAATTCATGGAGAACCAATACAAAATTTATAGTACTGTACTTAGAAGAAAGAACACTTGCAAAGATCTTGGAGAAATGTTCCAGCAAAATTTGATATTTAATGAACATTATCGGATCACCATTGGAAAGGCATACAGAACTCTTGGCTTCATAATTCGTAATTCAAATTTTTTTAAAAGATTTGAAACTCTAATATCATTTATTATTATTGTAAACCGAAGAAAGGGAAAAGGGAAATTCTTTAATTATAGTTTGATAAATGCAGATGCCAAAAATGATGACAAACCAGAGGAAATAAAAGAACAGTTCTTTGAAGACCTAGGGGAGATGTTCCAAAAATGACATTAAGATTAGGTATCAGGTGACATGAATGCAAGAATAGGACGAGAGCAAATTTTCATGCTCATGATAGGAAAGCATAGCCTACACAACATTAGAAGCGATAATGGATTACGACTGATAAACTTAGCAGCAGCACTCAATGTGACAGTCGCTAGCACCTATTTTAAACACAAGAACATACACAAGGTACCTAGACCGATTGGATTGATCATATCTTAATATATTCCCTGGATTACCCTGGATTAATCACATCTTAATAGATTCAAGGCATAGAACAGGCGTAATGAACTACATGTAGAGGCGCAAACATAGACTCAGATCGTTGCTAGTAATCTCAACATTGAGAGCTAGAATTTTAAACACCAGTAAAGAAAATAAAATGATAAGAAAAACATGGAATGTGCAACAGCTCAGAGATGCGACAATTGCAGAACGGTACTCGGAAAACATCACCAACAGACTAAGGAATCAAAATGTACATGAAGAAGGCAAGTCAGATATAGACTCCTACTGGGCCAAAATAAAGGATGACATTGAAGCAGCAGCGAAAGATGAAATAGGAATAGAAATGTGTGCCCGTAAAAATAATTGGTTTGACGATGAATGCAAGAATGTAACAAAAGAAAAAAATGAAGCCTACAGAAAGATGCTTACCTGACGGAACTAGAACAATTGTATTACCAGACAAAGTGAAGAGAAGAAAAGAGGACACAAAAAAACGAAGCCACCTAAATAAGGAACTTATTTACAGGCTGTATACATATAAAAAAAAAACCTCAACAAAGAGAAAGAATTCAGAGCATTCTATAAGAAGGTTAACATCAACAGAAAATAATTAAAGGCAACAACAAGGCAATGCAGAAGCCAGACTGGCGATCTATTAACAACAAGAAAAGATGTATTGAATATATGGGTGGAATACTGTAACCAGGCACTTAATATAGATAAAGAAATTTTGGAAGATGAAAGAGATGAGGTAAGGGGAGCAGACGAGAGGGAAGAGGAACCAATAATGATTCTTGAAGTTAATGCAGGCCATTCACGTTCCGACTTGTGGTACGACTAGTGGTCCAACTTCTGCAGTTGGATCTAAAATCGGATGGTGAGTGGGCTAGTTGGATTAGTTGGACAACTAGTGGTACGATTAGTGGGACGACTTGAAGATCCGACTTCCGACTGGCGACAAAGTCGGAGCGTGAATGGTGAAGTTGGAAGTCGGATCACAGGTTGGGTCGAAAATTTCCTCAGTCAGTTGACTTTCGGCACCTGTTACGTATGGGATTTCTATGAAATACTTTACGCAAAGATCTCTAGTTCACGAATATTTAATAGAAAATAAACTTTCAATTGCACGAAAATTACCTTTTTATTAGGGCAAATCATTTTCCTTTCTGTAGATCTATTTCGGACATTCCTATACAGGTAAATTTCCGGTACTCCGGATTGGCTACGGAAGAATTATCAACAAGCAATGAAAATTAAATCATAGTTGCAGCAAAAGATCCCTAGTTCGCAAAAAAATAATAGAAAATAACTTTCAATTGCAAGAAAAATTATTCCATTAAAAATATACGATACACACAACAAAATAAATCCCAGCTCCAGTTTAAAACAAATAAAATATAGATTTTATACCTATACAAATCTTTAAAAACTATAATTTTTTCCTACATCTTAAAAAGTCATAAAAATCAAGAGTTGAAAAAATTAATTAGTTCAGCCCTAGACAAATAACTAGAGAAACGAAACCTAATTTTTAAACATACATATCGTATTATTATATTTTGCGTAGTGTTTATTCGATACATTTTTTGGTTAAGCGATGTACACCATCGTGAAAACAACCTAGACTAAAGTTGGACCGCTAGTTGGATAGAAAGTCGGAGCGTGAGTGGAGACGAACATCCAACTAGTAGTCCTACTAAGTGGGACCACAAGTCGGAACGTGAATGGCCTGTCTAAAGATGAAGTTAAAAAACTTGCCAGAAACAAATCACCCGGAATAGATAATCTCCCAGGTGAACTATATAAAGAACATGATACCATTAAGAGTAGTTAAAAAGCAATCAACCTCGAAGGATGTCATTAGCAATTGCTCCCAAAAAACTGTTGTTTTACAAGTAAATATTAACAATTAAATTATAAAGTTATATCAAGATATGCATAATTAGTACAAGGTATATGAAGATCATCTTCCTTTTTTGAAAAAACAATTTGTTTGTAAATTGCAATAACTGCAATGAAAAGTTTATAGCTTTAGTTTTTATCTTTCAAACAAAAACTTGAAGCAATTAGGACAAATTGATAGTGATAGATAAGTAATTACCATCTACCAGTGACGTGACTTATCTTTATTAAGTAAAGGGTTTATGGTGTTCATTCTGTTGAATATTCAATATTCAACAGCACCAATAAAAAGATCACCAATAAAAAGATGGCGTCCGATAAGGATGATCGCGAGAGTGAGAGTGAAAAAACCAAGTTTACTTGTTGCAAAGCTAAAAAAATAAGCACAATAAT